CTCTCCTTGTATGTATGCTCTCCTGGGGTGGGGGGAAGACATTTAATAATCTATAATACTTTGTTTTTTTTTTTCTCTTATGTAGGCTCCAAGCCCACAAAGAGGAAACCAGTGAAACAGCCGAGGGTGAGTTCTTTGCTGTGGAAAGGGACGGGGGTGTGGGATCCCCCTTTTTATTCTAGCTTTCAACTACAAGGGAGAGCAAGCCCTGCCCCCCACCCAGACCCCCATCTGCCCGGCAGAGGCCACAAAGATCCCAGGTGGGTGTGCTGTTACTTTGAAATGGAACAAGTTTTTCTGGCTTCATTGTCATCCCCACTGTGGGGAAATTGAAGGCAGGTGAACTCTGGAACCCTCCATCCTGGGCCTCTGCATCTCGGGAAATGGCACGTTGACAGAGCCTGGAGTTTCATGACAGCAAGGGAATTCACTCCATGTTTTCATTTCCAAGCCCTGGCAGGAATCACCCAGGTCTAAGTCAGGTGTTTTTCTGGCTGTCTGCCCTGCGTGCAGGTTCATCGGAGAGTAACTTTTTTTCCTCATTCATTGGAAATTTGCCTGTTGCATATTGTATCAGCCCGAACTCATCCGTCTCAGTTGCAGATATAGAAGAACGTGGCTCTAGATTTTTGCCTTCGGTTACGATACCACTCGAAACACTTGTGAGTTCGCGCTGGTGTCCTCGGGAGCAAACTCTGGAAAGGAGTTTGTGTAGCTGCTTGGTGACAGCAGGCTAGCTAAACAGAAGGTGAGCGTGTGCTCCCGGAGCCTGTGGACCCATCCTGCCATGGCAGTTCTGGGACAGCATTTGGTTCCCGCTCTGTCACACATTCTTCAGAATAGTTGTGCAATTTGCCTGCAAGCTGTTCGCTGTGTTTGGTGGACTTCATGTCCATGTTCTTAACTGGGTGGAAGGGGTCTGCTTCTGTGTGTTACTGGAAGGCAACCATCGTATTCAAAGAACTTTTTTTTTTTAACCTTGAGCTTTAAAAACCAGGACAACAAAGCAAGACTTTTCTATCACTGCACAGGGACTCTTCACGGCTCAGAGAGCAGCTTCAGAAGACAGACTCTGGAGCCAGGGAGTCACCTGGTTGGGTCGCTCACTGGTAAGCGACCCAACCTCTCTGTGCATCATTTTATACCTGGTAGAGGGAGGGTAACAGAACTGTTACAGGGTTTATTCTGCTATTAACTTAGACAAGGTTTGACAGCACTCAGGCTGGCCTCACACCCCTCCGCAACCAAGGACGGCCTTGCATTATGATCATCCTCTCCCCATCTCTCACGTGCTGGGAATACATCTGCCGTCATGCCCAGTGCGCACGGTGTGCCACACAAACCAGGAAAGCCCCCTTACCAACAACAGCGCTACATCCCCCAGCCCCGGGGCAGGGTCCAATGAGTTAAGTTTATAAAGTGTAAAGCACATGCTTGAGTTCCATACCAGGGCTTAGGAAAGCTAGAAACAGCGTTAGGCGTTTGACCATGACTGGGCCTCTTGGAAGACTGGAATTCTTCTCCTACAGGGGCCTGGATGAACCTAAAGCATATGTTACTGACAACCAGGTCATTATGCATTTGCTCGGTTGTCTGCTTATCAGGGGGATCTGGAGACATGCCACGAGATTGAGTCATTGTAAGTGGGGGTTCCAGCTTAGGGGAGGGACCGCTCCTTGAGAGAGACACAGGCACTGTAAATCACTGGGACCCTGCTGTCAAACGTTTCTTGTGCAAATAAAATAAAGTAGGCTTTAAAAAAATGTCAGTTCTCTGTTTACAATTCCTCTGGGGGTGGGTGGGGTTGACCGATCGTTTTTTCCTGTTGGCACACCGACGTGGATGGGGAGCATGTCGCAAAGCCCTACCCTTAGATGAAGAGCTATAGGCAATTAATGGCTGGTAAGAGAGAAGAATCAGTCTTCCCTAGGGGTGAGGTCCTGGTAGGTTATTCAATTCTAAGTGGTCAGCCCCAAACACACACATATAGGAGCAACACTAAATGTACTCAGCAGGTTCTCTGTGTGTGTGTGTGTATATGTGTGTGTCTGTATGTATCTGTGTATATCTGTGTGTCTGTGTATATGTATACGTGTGTGTGTCTATGAATATGTGTGTATGTGTGTGTGTATCTGGGTGGTGTTCTGTGTGTATGTATATGTGTGTGTCTGTGTGTATATTGTGTACCTGTGTTTGTATATGTGTGTGTCTGTGTGTATATGTGTGCCTGCATATATGTATATGTGTCTATGTGTGTGTGTGTTTGTGTCTGTGTGTGTATAAAACAATAATTAAAGAATAGATCATGAATTTGAGGGGGAATAGGGGAATAAACACAGGAGGGGTTGGAAGAGGAAGAGGGAGATGTAGAAATGATGTAAATACAGAATTCAAGTATAAAATTTTCCCCAAAAGCTTTAAAAACTTAAAACATGACCAGTGGGGTTTGGTGGCGCACACCTTTTATCTTAGCACATGGGAGGATCTCTGTGAGTCTGAGGCCAGCCTGGTCTACAGAGTGAGTTCCAGGGCAGTCAGGGCTCCTCAGAGAAACCCTGCCTTGAAAAACTAAAAAAGAAGGTTTAGCTTAAATGTTTGTCTGCCATTTATGTACGAAGTCTCTGATATGTGGTAGCTCATGCCTAGACTCCCCAGGGATGAAGACAAGAGGACCCGCAGTTCATGTAGTTCATGGTGTCAGGTGGCAGGCCAGACTAGGATACTTGAGATGCTGCCCCAAACCAAAAGACAAACAAACAAACAAAAACAAAGAAGGAAAAAGAAATCCATCAAACAAATTTATCAAGACACTGCCTCAGCCCAAAGGAAGCCCCGTGTCTTAAGGTAACAAGCGCTGACAGGCAGCACGTGAGACAGCTCAGCAGGCAAAGGCACTTCATGACCCTGCCTGAGTTTAACCCCTGGAAGGTGCAGCAGATGTTACCAATGCCCCCAAGAGCAGGAAGCCGAGAGATCAACCTTTAATATCAAACGCGGAGCAGACTGAACTGTAAGTAGGGTGAGGCTGTAGAAGCTCAATGATGCTCCCCCAACCCCCCAACCGCCCCACCCCCAACCCCCCACCCCACCCCCTCCACTCCTCACCCCCCACCCCCTAACCCCCACCCCCTCCACTCCTCACCCCCATCCCCCACCCCCACCCCCTCCACTCCTCACCCCCCCACCCCCACCCCCCACCCCACCTCAGGGATGTCCTTCCAGCAAGGCTGTACTTCCCACCTCCCCATAAGCTCCCCAAACAGCACCACCAACCAGGGGCATTTCTCATCAAACCACCCCAAATATGAAAGGAAGGGATTTTCACAGTAACACATCTGATTAATGATATTAACCTTTGTCAATGAATCCCTGTAACCATTTGTAAACACGAGAAGATCTGAAGTTTAAAGTCATCATCCCTGGACTACATAGATCCACGCCAGCCTGGGCTACCTGAGACCCTCCCCAGCACAAAATTAAAAAAAAATCATGGAAGCCTCTGCAGTTGGGTGTGCTGACCGGCCTACACCTGTGATCCTCGGACTTGGGGAGCCGGAAGGCAGAAGGCTTCACTACTTAACTTCATGAGCTGGGGGCCAACCTGAGGTACATGAGACCGACTCACAGGGGGTGGGGGGTGGGGGGGTGGGGGGGTGGGGGTGGAGCCTACCACTCAGCTCCCCCATTAAAGGCCTGAGATCCCTGCACTTTAGGAGGGAGTCTAGGTGGGGGCGACTCCGTTCGTGCAAAGGCTCCCTGATTATCCAGTAGCAGTTAAGACCGGAAACCTGTCTTTGAACCCCAGTCACTTCACAGGGGTTCCATCTGCTGTAACACCGGTGAGAGCTTCCTGTGAAGTGGCTGGTGACATAATTCAGTGGGTAAAGTCACTTGCTGCCAAGCCTGAAGAATGACCTAAGTTGGAGTCCTAGGTCCCACGTGGTGGAAAGGGAGAAAGTTGTCTTCTGACCCCAAACTCCGGCCAAGGTGTATGGGCATACACACACACACACACACACACACACACACACACACACACACACATGCAATTTTGCAAACGTAAAGTTTAACATTTTGTTTATTATCTGTTGATAGACAGGGTATTCTGGGGGTTGATTTTGAAACGACCCTCCTCCCCCGTGCTTGGTTTTATGCGGTGCTGGCCTCAAACCCAGGGCTCTGTGTCTGCTAGGCAAACACTTTACTTTTGGAGCTACAGTGTCAAGGGGCAATTCACCTTTTAATTGGAAAGCGAAGTGTAAAAGGTGTGTCAAACTTGTGTTGGTGATTGCGCTGACTCCGTCCAAGAGTTACAGGTGCGGTTCACGGGGCGCGTGAACGCATGCAAGACCTTACCCGCTATCCTTTACATCAATCCTTGACACCGCCAGGGCCTTGGGGGAAACCGCGGCGGTGGAAATTAGGTAGCGGAGCAACAGCTGGGGAAGGAACTCTGCACTAAGCTTTAGAGAGGAAGAAGCAAGACCCTGTCTCCACTGCCGGGGCATGTCTTTTGATAACCAGAGTCGGAGACGGAGGGAATAAAACCGAACTGGAGCAGAAGGAATGTGTGCGCAGGGACTGCGATGGGGAGTGGGTTTATCTGTGATAAAAAACAAAACAAAACATACATCAAAAACCACGAACCAAATAAAACCCGTATCTTCTCCAGAGATCCCTTGTAGTTTGAAGGATGCAAGGAGAGACAGCGAGTCCCGGTAGTGAGCGCCACATTCTCGGTACTCCACTCTTTCCCGGGCCAGAGATGTCCACCCGGCACCCAATCCTGGGCCGTGCCCCGACTTCCTTTCCCTTTTTTCAGCCCCTGCCTTTCTGCCCTAAGGGAAGCGCAGGCTGCAGGCTGCAGCAGGCTCTGCTGGGCTCATCCATCAGTAGGGGAGGAGGGGCGGGAGGAGGAGGAGTTTCTAGGCGGCCGAGCCCCCGTAGCTCGCGGCGCCCTTCCCCCCGCGCGCTGATTGCTGTGGCTGCGTGCCCGACCCCGCCCGCGCGTGTGCGCGGCCGAGCGAGGGCGCCGCACGGGCCTGATGGGGTGATCCAGGCTTTCGGGGACGCTGAGCGCCACTTTCCTCCTCCCTGGAAGTGTGAGAGAGAGAGAGGGGAGAGGGGGAAGCGGGCTGCTGTCCTGCCAGGCCACTTTCGCTGCGCGATTCCCCGAGCTCCCGGCAGGAGGTGAAAGTCCCCGGCGGGGTCCGGATGGCGCAGTTGAGCTGCTGAGCTCGCCGCCGCCTGCGCGCGCTGGGTGCAGGGGACTCTTCCTCGGCTGCTCCCCCACTTCGCGGCTGAGGATCGGTCTCGGACACGCCGCCTGCGAGGTACGTGCGGGCTGGGCGCCTGGTCACCGGCTGTGCAGGCTGCGCACTGCGGGCCGGTGCTTGTTTCGCGGGTTTGCTCGGTCCACCCGGGACCCCGAGCTCGGGACCTGGCTTTGATCCGGCCGGGTTGACGCTGAGCGGAACAGGGATCCGCGGCGGTCCCGGGTGGGCAGCGCCAGGGAGGAGCTCCCCACGGCCGCCTTCGCTCTTCCTCTCCGCGGTTTCCTAGTCCCGAGCCGGGCGCGCAGGCCATTGCCCTCCCGGCTCATGACAGCGTGGGTGGGCGCTCGACCGTGATGGGTAGCAGAGGCCGCGGCCGCGGGACGCGCGCGCCCAAGCCTGTCCCGGGTCCCCGCCGGCCGCGCCCTGGCTCAGGGAGTCGGTCCCGAAAACGCCGCGGAGGACTCCCGGGTTAATCCAGCTGCGCTCTCGCTGATGTTAGAGGCTCTATCCGGGTGTGAACTTGGTTGGGACAAACTTGGGGACCCTTGGATGTTGCTAGAAGAATCCACTTGCAGAGTTGCGCTTATTAGGTCATTTGTCCCACGTTCGGGCACCCGGATAGAAGTGCAGACAGCCGGCGAGTGTGCCAAGCCCGAACTACCTCGGCAGAGTAGACAGAACCCGGTGGCTGAGGTGTCGGTGCAAACGGCTGTGAGCTAGGAGGACCGGGTCCCGCAAGGCAGCTTGGAGGCTGGAGGAGCGCACAGATGTTCCGGACCAGGACCGCGCGCGCGCGGGGAGCGGTGCACAGGTGTTAGCGCCTGTGCTGCGCCCTGCGGTGAGGGATCGTGCGAGTGACAGATTGAGATGGGGAACCAGACGTTTTTTTTCAAGTTTCTTCTACCTTCGCAGAACTGAAAGGCTTGGGGAGAAGTTCCCAAGAAAACCACATCGGGTCCTTTAGTATCCCCGGAATGGCCCTTTAGAGAACTCAGCCGGTTCTTTTGGGGGTACTGGTCCCCTACGGTGTGTCAGATGTCTCCACGGCAGCAGTCGGATTTAAGTACCACCCCAACTCTGGTTAAAATTGTGCGGTTTTAGTGGACCCAATTTACAGATCGCATGCTAGACTCCAGCAGTTAGGGGCCAAGTCACTCGCCCTAGGTCATCATACACTGCTTTCTGTTAGGTTTAACCCAAGAGCTGCCCTGGTCACGACAGAAAGTGGCAAGTGCGGTAAGATCCGTGGGCAATAAGCCCTTGGCCCTCTGTCTTGCCCAGCTTCCTGTTTGAGTTGAATGCATTTTTTGAAACACTAAATTATCTGTGATTAATTTAGGTGACCATACACGTTCTTTGCAGGGGCCGAAGTCCAGCTCCACTGAGCCTGGCTCCAAATAATTATAAATAGAACCCTGACTTATGTTAATCTTTAGTCTTCATTACTTTTATTAATCCACCAGACATTGTTGATCAAGGCCACTGGGCTTCCTTAGGAAACAGCTTGTGGTTGGCGCAGGAGGCAGGGAAATAATTCTTACCCCCTGAAGGGCTATTAAAGAGGACTTGATTCCGTGCCATTGTGTCAGCTAGAGGATGTTGCTCTATTTCTTGATGTTCTCTGCTTTTGGCCTGAATTCTGCATTGTTTAGCGTTTTCAAGGCTTCAGCACACGTCTTACCCCTGACATTGTTGTCAACTTTAAAAGTTCCTGTTGTGATGGAACATGACAACCCCACACTAGCTTTGCTTAACTGTCGGGTAAGATGTATACATTAAAAAAAAACACAACACAAAACAATAAAGTCGTTAACCGAGTTTCGAACCCCAAGGCTTCAAAGGCCAGTCTCCTGGGAAATTCGGTGTTATTTTTAACACGTACCAGTAGGGGGAGCGCAACATACTTATTGATGTCCTGCAGGCACCTAAACTTGCTTGTACTGTATGTATGTAGCATGTATTTCAGAAATGAAAAGCATTGTAGCCTCACCTAACAAAAATAACTAAGTTGCTTTCTGAGTTTTCTGTGGAGGAATGGGTTTAATTTCCATTGGTTAAAAGCTAGGGTCTGGCTGGTAAATGTATATCTAGAACTTAACGGTGACTCGTAGGGTCTGTTTTTTTTTTTTCCTTCCAGTTTGCTTTCCTTGCAATGTGTAAAAATTTTGTGTTGTTTGAATAACATTTCAGGCTATTTAGGAGAACTGGAAATCCAAAGAGATTCCTTTGTGAACCCTTTTTGTAACGACCCCCTATTTGTTCCTTGTGTAAAACTGCATAAATGAACTCATTCTTGGGGGGGTGGTGTCGATGAATTCAGTGCCGTCATCATTATCTTTCACTAAGGTCTTCCAAGTTCAAGATGGGAAGAGCTCATTTATCCCACGTTTCAATACAGGTTGAGTTCCCGCAGCAAAAATGCTTGGGGTAAACAGGGCTCTGGGTTTCATGCCTTGGAACATCTACGTACACAGCGATCTCTTGGGAGAGGTGACCCAAGTCTAAACATGATTTGGGTGTCATATGTACCTGACACAGTTCTGTACAATGTTTTCAGCGTACGTACGTTGTGACCTCGTCTAGTTACAGGAGATCAGTGTGAAATTTTCCCCTTGTGGGGTCATATCTGTGCTGAGAAAATTTTGGGTTTTGGAGCATTTTTGATGCTGGATTTCTGGATCAGGGTGCTTAATCTGTGTGGCAGTAGTTCAAAGTCTTAGCCCGTGTGAGTACAAGTGTCTGTGGTGTGTTTAGGCAATTATGTCTGTAAACACGCTTACAAAATATTTAAGAACCAGCATGCTTGTAAATCAGCCAGACTGAATATTTTTTTTTTGTATTAAAGGTTTCCTGTCTTTGTAGTTACGTTAGCAGGTTTTGTTTCTTGTGTATCTTGTATTAAAGGTTTAACTTTATATTAAGTGTTAGGGTCAAATGGACCCTATTTTAAATCACCTTAAGATTTAGCCATGTCTTTCTTCATCTCAGCCTGCATTTGACATTACAGACTAGCATTTGCTTAGGATCTCCTTTAGTCTTCTGTTCTTTGATCTGGGTTACTTATTTCACAAGTGTTTATCAGCCCCCCCCCCCACTCTCCAGTCAGCCCCTGTTTCCTGGCTTTGGAGTTTGGTAAATTAGAGTGGTGTCTTCTGATGCACGGGGTCACGGAGGTTTGAGGATGCCAAGGCCTTCCAGCAGAAAGCATTTAATGGGCAAAAGTCGTGTGTTGGAAGGAAACTATCTTCTTCTTCTTTTTAAGACTCAAGGAAATTAATTTTTTCTTTTTGCATACAAACAACTTATAAAAAAACGTGCCTGCCTAGAAGCCTAGGGAAGTCCTGTGAAATGACTTCTGGCTTCTTTTAGTTCTCACGTGGTCTTCAAATTCTGGGGATCACGAGTCTATGTTTTATATTTTACACCTAAGGACAGAACAGGTAGAATTTAGAGCATGGCAGGTTATGATATTGTTGCTATAGCACACCCCTCCTTGTTTTCGTTGTTTTGAATTAACTCTGTTCTTAATAAGTCATTAAATTTCCCTTATTGGTGTGTGAGGGTGTGTGTGTGTGCATGTGTGTGATTGTGTGTGTTTGTCTCTGTGTACGTGTGTGTGTGTATGTTGTGTGTGTGAGAGTGGGTGTATGTGTGTTGTGTGTGAGCGTGTATGTGTGTGTGTCTCTCTCTCTCTCTGTGTATGTGTGAATGTGTATATGCCTGAGTGTATGTCTGTGTGTGTATGTGTGAGTGAGTGTGTGTATGTGTGTGTGTATGTCTCTGTGTGTATGTGTGTGTGTATGTATGAGTGTTCCCATGTATGTATGTGAATCATGTGTATGCCTGGTTGCTCTCCCTCAGATGCCAGAAGTGGGTGTTGTGTCTCCTGGAACTGCAGTTGCAGACATTTGTGAGCTGAGTCTTTGAAATGTAGTCTGTGCTTGTCACTACGTGTCCCTTGCTCCAGCCCCTTTAAAAGTCATTTTCAAATGTGTATTTTTCTATGTTCTCATTGCTACTGGATGGAAAATTATGACGGCTACATTCATTGGTTATATGGAGAACAAGCTTTCCACCCTGATTTTAATAGCTATTTAATCAATCAGTTCCTTATTTCCTTATACTTTCAAACACTGATTTTTTTCATATTCAAAAACCTTTGTGGTGACATTTTATGATCTAACAAAGCTTGCCTGAGGGTCACAGTGCAGAGATAGCCATACTAGTTAGCCATAGAGGCCATGCTTTAATCCCCAGCACTTGGGAGACAAAGGCAGGGCAGATCTCTGTGAGTTCAAGGCCACTCTGGGCTACATGAGATTGAATTTGTCTAAAAGAGAAACACTTGGAGTGACACGCCTTTAATCCTAGCACTAGGGAGGTAGAGACAAGAGTCATAAGGCTGTGGGCCGAGAGAGGGATATAAGGCAGGGAGGAGACAAGACAGAGATGCAGTCTAGGCAGTCTTCAGTCTGAGGATTCCTAGAGACAGGACTGCTCATTTGGTCTGAGGATTCAGTACAGATAGGACTAGTGGCTGGCTGTTTGGTTCTCTGAGCTTTCAGCTTTCCCCCTCCTAATATCTTACTGTTTATTATTATTATTATTACTGATTAGAATTCATGCTACAAACCTTAGCTGTTTTTTTTTTTGAAGTTTACATAACTGGTTAGGTTCATGTTTTTAGAGGTCCTTAACTCAAATGTAATTTTTTCACTTCCATAGGAGTATGGACAGTTAGGAAGATGAGAATGAACCTGGGTTATGTGAAAAACAATTACTGTTAGTATTGTTATTATTATGTTGAGGTGCTGGGGTTTGGGGCCATTTGAGGCAAGTCCTTGGTCTCTGAACTGCAGCCCCACCCCAAAAGTTAAGGAACATCAGTGAATAACAGATTTGGTTAGTAAAAGCAAACGCAGCCCCATGGCAGGAAGTTCTCTGGTTTCCCTGTCTTCAGACTCACGTGTGAGATGATGGCAGGTGCTTCTTTGTAGCACTGTGTAAAACCAAACTTGTTAATTTGTTCAGTTTTCTAGTGGGGCTGACATAAACCA